CATCTGTTCATACCTCATCTCTTCATGCCTCATGTCTTCACACCTCATATATTAATGCCTGATCTCCCCCCATTCTTGTCCCTAGTCGGCCTAGACTCACACCATCGCCTCATCACATCCCTTTCCTCATCGGCATGACATAATTATATGTTTCAAATTGTGTGATTCCAAATCAGAATTGGGTGTGAAGACTACATAAGAGAGATGGGTGTGGGTTGGGTTTTTGTATTTTAGAAAAGCGATCCTGTCAGCTTTTCTATTATCCTTTGTATGTGATTGAGTGTATGCGCGTGATTTCACAAGATGTTAATAATTATTGTGAAAAGTATAATTTCAGTGCCAGAAATAGATGTGAACTGTGTTGATGTGCAGATTTTGCGCATTGTTCTTCCAATTACTAAAGTCAAACACTAGCTGTTTACTAATTACAAAACTATTGAATACAACTAGGGAGTGTTGTCTTCCATTTTGAACTGACTTCTTGTTACTTCCAAGCATTTGTTTGTTGTTTTGATTAGGAAACCTTGCAGTGCTGGAAGAAGAATTACGGTTGTGAGAATTGTTCGAAGTTGGTAAATCATGAACGACTGTGACTGGACTTCGGAGGAGAGTGACGACTCTGATGCACTCTCACCACTCCAGCCATTAGTGATATGGTCAAGCAGAAGGTCAACCGCGTGTCCTCCACCGCCAACTGCACCATCATATAATACACCGTACTCAGCTCTTAACCACGTATACCCCAAAAGTGGTAATCAAGTAGCCACATCAGAATTCTCAACTTCCCAGTTTTCTCTTCAGAATACCGCATTCAGCCCTTGGAAATCACGAACATCTTGCGACGGTGTTCCTCAAGATCATGTACCCAAGGACATGGTGACAGATAAAATCAGGGACCCTCGACCAGAAATCCAGAGGAACAAGGATACAAAGACCAGTGATGCTTCAACCACAGCTGTCGAAAACCCATGTTTGGATTCCTTGACATCAGCAATGGACAAGGATCAAATTTCGCAAGGTAACAGTACCCCAACCGTTAACTGCTATCCCGAAGCCGTTTTAGATCAGTACACAGGCTACGAGGAAGTAGCGTTTCACATTGAATATGGCAAGAACTACAGCAAATCTGCTGGTATGAACGTTCACGCAAGGCTTGTACACAACTTTGGCCATTTTCCAGTATCTTCTCCAGTGGCTAGCCTGCCCGCGGATTCCGATCATCACGATCTTGAAAAAATCAACACTCATCACACGTCTGAACCTTTTTCTGAGAAAGTTTGTCAACTTCAATCTGACTTTCCCGAACCAGAAAATACACTCTGCGAAGAAAGTGAAAAGTCACTTGATCGCCAGCCCGATAGGCTTGATTGCGAACATTCCCATCCTGGAGAAAAGCAATATAGATGTAAGCATTGCGATAAATCTGTTTCTACTCCGTCTTGCCTAAGTTCTCATCAATGTACACATCCAGAAGAGAAATCGTTAAAGTGTAAAGAGTGTGACAAAATGTTCACCACGCAACAAAATCTTACCCGTCATGCACGACTTCACTCAGTAGGCAAAGCGTTTCCGTGCAAGTACTGCGCAAAGCTATTCGGTGACAAATACGGCCTACATGTTCATGAACGTGTCCATACCGGGGAGAAGCCGTTCAGGTGTGGTTACTGTGATCAAATGTTTCGCCGTAATACCCATCTTAGAGTTCATGAACGTAGCCATACTGGAGAGAGACCATATAAGTGTAAATCGTGCGATACGTCATTCACGGCGAAATCAAATCTCACGGTGCATCAGCGCATCCATACTGGAGAGAGACCATACAAGTGTAAATCATGCGAAAAGTCATTCACGAAGAATTCAGATCTCACCCGGCATCGACGCATCCATACTGGAGAGAGACCATACAAGTGTAAATCGTGCGAGAAGTCATTCACGACGAAATCATATCTCACCCGGCATCGACGCATCCATACTGGAGAGAGACCATACAAGTGTAACCTGTGTAACAAGTCATTCAAGACGAAATCCACTCTCACCGTGCATCAACGCATCCATACCGGAGAGAAACCATACAAGTGTAAAGTATGTGGCATGGCATTTCGGGAAATGTCAACTCTCAAATATCATCAACGAATCCATACTTGAGAGTAACCATCTTCGTGTAAGGACTGTGGAAAGTCTTTCACTAAGAAATCCAGCCTAACACGTTATGAGTGGATCCATCCCTGAGAGAACCTGATCATGTACAAGCGATTGTGACGAGATTTCAATGCGAAAAGAAACATGGAAGACCATGGAAATACAAAACACAGAAAAAAAACGCATTTTTTGGTAACTGTTCAGTTTTAGTTATTGCTCTGCGTGCACCGTCTTATCCTGAATTATCTGCAAACACATGTACTATGATTCTGTTTGCGCTTTTCATGTATCGTTCAATCGTTCAACGTAATACATATTTGTTGAAATATACAATTTTTCCTAGTACTTTCCTGTTGTCGTCTTCTTTTTTCTTGCATTATCGTTGTCAACCAAACACGCTCGGTGGTGTGCTAGTAATTTCCTTCTGGTCATATTCATTCAGTCAATGGGCTAGGAGAATGTACAGAATGGAGATGGACGTCTGTAGAATTGCGACCTATGCTAAGCTCTGAAATCTTCGTAGTGCGTTCAATCGGTTTCGTAAACTGTACTTTTTATTATTTTAATTTTTTATTATAATATTATCGCGATAATTGATGGAATATATGGTAGTTTAGTAGGTGTGTTGCGGTGATGTTTTGACCTGACATGCGAGCCGATAATTCTTAGATGTGTTCATTTCTTGCTCTACTTTCGTTGTGTTTGCATGTGTGTGTGCGCTTGTCCGTTTGTGTGTATGATTTTCGCTGTGAATGTCGGTTTATTGTTCCATTGTAGCCGGATACTATGACGTCTTTCAAAGTAGAGCTGCTGTTAGCTCATCGTAGAGCTGCAATGCTAATGGATGTAATATAGCTCAAGGCAGAGCCGCAGAAAATGGCCAGATAACACCAGTTGTGAGAGTGTTTGCTCAAAGTAGAGATGCTAATAGCTAAACGTAGAGCTGCTGTAAGCTCAAAGTAGAGCTGCTGTTAGCTCAAATTAGAGCTGCTGTTAGCTCAAAGTAGAGCTGCTGTTAGCTCATCGTAGAGCTGTAATGCTAATGGATGTAATATAGCTCGAGGCAGAGCCGCAGAAAAGGCCAGATAACACCAGTTGTGAGTGTGTTTGGTCAAACTAGAGATGCTAATAGCTAAACGTAGAGCTGCTGTAAGCTCAAATTAGGGCTTCTGTTAGCTCAAAGTAGAGCTGCTGTTAGCTCAAATTAAAGCTGCTGGTAGCTCAAAGTAGAGCTGCTCTTAGCTCGTCGTAGAGCTGCAATGCTAATGGATGTAATATAGCTCAAGGCAGAGCCGCAGGAAATGGCCAGATTACACCAGTTGTGAGAGTGTTTGCTCAAAGTAGAGATGCTAATAGCTAAACGTAGAGCTGCAGTAAGCTCAAATTAGAGCTGCTGGTAGCTCAAAGTAGAGCTGCTGTTAGCTCGTCCTAGAACTGCAATGCTAATGGATGTAATATAGCTCAAGGCAGAGCCGCGGGAAATGGCTAGATAACACCAGTTGTGAAAGTGGACCCAATCAGTTCCTACCATTATTATCATGATAGTCTGAATACGTTGGATAGGGAGGGATGGGGGGAAAAGAAACACTGCAGAAGCACGATCTGTTGTCTGGAAGAACACAACAGGGCAAGCAAGATTTTTTTTTTTTCATCAAAACGAGTTTGGTGCCATAATTTTGTGATTATGCAGCAAAACATAGCGCATGACGTCATTCTTGAAGGCAGCATAGAGCCATGCAGTGCAGCTAGTGAGCTAGTTCGGACGAGTACTAGCACAGCTAGCACCCCAAATTTGGTGTCGATGGGATCTTTCAAAGAAGATACTGTGTCCTAACTGCCCTTTCTGACAAATGGAGAGGTGAATCCGTTGTTATATGTTTTGAGCTAACCAGGCTTTAATGGTGTTGGGGCGGCGGTTCAATCCTGTGACCTGTGACAATCGCTTATGCCCAGAGATGCCCTACAGCTAAGCACTCTACCACTAGTGGTCATCCGATCAGTGACTGTTCAATATTTTCCACAGATGTAGAAACTCACGCCTCCTGTGAATCCACACAAGCTCGTGGGATGCAAGGAGCGTACAAGACGTTTTCTGTTTTAATGGTGCTGTTTGTACATAGCGCGGAACTCACGATATTCATTTCGCTTATATCTTTCTTAACACTTAGATCCACCGACATGGTCAACAGTTATACCGTGACGAGTTAGCAAGAGCACCACATCTATGTTTAGAACAGGTAGTAGTAGTAGTATTGACATATCCTATTCTAACAACAAAGTGTCTCAGATTGCATCACCTCTTGTCACGTGTTGCAGACTCCACACGAAGCTTGGCTGATCCCATGTCAAGCGTTTAGGTGAAGAAAAATATGGAAATAGAGATAGTGTGTGTGTGTGTTTGTGTGTGTGTGTGGAGGGGGGAGGGATGGGTGTTTGTTTGTGTGAGTGTGCATGTGTGTGTTTCCGGGCGTGAGCGCATGATGTGAAAATATCATGATGTGTCACTTAAATGTAAGGATGGACTCGGATGAAGAAGCAAGGATTAATTTATAGAAAAGAAAAAAGACCAAGGAAGTACTAGTAACGCTATAACGTCGGTAAACGTCGGTAAACGTCGGTCAACGTCGGTAAACGTCGGTCAACGTCTGTCAACGTCGGTAAATGTCGTGCAAATTTATCGCATGAGCTGATTGTTAAGACATTGGTCGTGTTAGTGATAATTATAGAGCAGCTCGTTAATGTATTGGCCTAGAAATAGACATCAACGTGACAAATTATCTCAAAGTGTTCATGTACTTATTCGGGAAACACAGTTGCTACTGATTACAATACTAACCTCCTAGTATGAGTTGTTTCTGCTCTATGGATTATTGGTATTGAATTCGGATACTTTGCCCTACATGGCAAGAGAATTGAGTTTGGAAGAATTGTTGAAGTAAGTGGATCATGGATGATTGTGACTCGACTTCGGAGGGGAGTGCCGACTCTGATGCACTCTCACCACTTCCACCATTGGTTATATGGACCAGCAGAAGGTCAACTGGGTTAACCCCCACAGCGAAATATACCATTTTACGGTACGATTTACACGGCTCATCACCACGCAAACCCCAATAGCGGTAACCCAGAGACGACCTCAGAAGGCTCCTTTGCGAATTATGCACTTCAGCATTCCTTATTCACCTCTTGGAACACACCAACATCTACCTCCAGAGTGCTCCAAGATCATCCTTGGCTGGACACTGCAGCAGACAACTTCAGGCCACCTCAACCAGAGTTCCAGAGGAACAAGGATACACGCGCTAATGATCCTTCAACAGCAACTGACGATAACCCATGCTCTAATCCAATGACATCAGCAATGGACAATGGCCAAAGATCGCAAAGCAACCGTAACCAAACTGCTAACCATCCCGTTTCTGTTTCAGATCACTACACAGGCCATGCACACGTTGGGTATGAGTCGGAAGATGGCGAATACTCAGGCAAATCTGCCGACCTGGAGGTTCACAATATCGAACATGTTCCAGTGGATCTTAGGATGTCTAGCTTATCGCACAAAAATCAGCATGTCTCCGAGTCTAGTTCTGAGGCAGATTTTCAACTTCAAGCTGACTTCCCTCAACCCGAAACTTCGCTTTACAAGGAAACTGGGCCATTGCTTGAACGCCAGCATGATATGCTTGATGGCAGACATTCACGTCCCGTAGAAAAGCCGTATGAATGTAAGTTTTGCGATAAATCATTTTCTACTCAGTCCAGTCTAACATCTCATGAACGTACATGTACGCACCGAGAAGAGAAACCTTTCAAGTGTAAAGTGTGCGATAAAGTCTTCGATTGGCGATCTCTTCTTCTCCGCCATGTTCGAGTTCACTCAGGAGACAAACCCTTCACGTGCAAGTTCTGCGCTAAATCATTCAGTGATAAATCCAATCACACTACTCATGAACGGTACCATACCGGAGCGATGCGGTTTAATTGTGATCACTGTGATCAAGGTTTTCACTCCCGTTCCAATCTTAAAATTCATTTACGCATCCACACTGGGGAGAGACCATACAAGTGTAAAGAATGTAAAAAGGCATTCAGACAACCTTCACATCTCACAGATCATCAACGCGTCCATACAGGAGAGAAACCTTTCAAATGTAACGTTTGTGAGGAGGCGTTCAGAAGTGCATCAAATCTCGCAGGTCATCAACGCATCCATACTGGAGAGAAACCGTTCAAGTGTAAAATATGTGAAAAGTCTTTCTCTCGGAAATCTAATCTAACAGTACATGAAGGAATCCACCTCTGAGAAAAACAATAAAAGTCTGTCAATGATTAAAAAAACACTTGGAAGACTATCAAAATGTGAACATTAACAAAAGGCTTCTTTTCCAAATTATGGAAAATGTTCATTATACATGTACTTGTAGGCCCTTTTTGAAATGCAAGTAGCCAAATCTGAACACCACGCAAAGGCCACTGCTTACATGCTGACTTCCATATTTGTAGCATTACAATGATTTTCATTATCATTGTTTTAGAGTTGATATATTGTACAGTTTCTAGCCATGTTACTCAATGCACTTCGTACACGTATTTCCATATCTACCATTCACAAAAAAACAGTTGAGCTGATCATGTGGCTCGTGGTTTATAAAATCTGTACTTTTTCGCGCATCTTTACTCTTCTGCACGCATGCTGGGTATGGATCCTTTCCCTAGAAGAGACGCAGTGCTGTTTTGAAGTAGGCACATGATGCTAAATATGTGAGATACTTTATTCCTGTATGTAGATGTCTATCTCTGGTCTCATTTGTATAGACCCGTTCAAGTCCCCGTCAAAACATTTAAAATCTTCTAATAAAAAGATTGTCTCAATGTTCATGTGCTGGAGGGAAATGTGGAAAGGGGGAAATGACTGTGATCACCAAGACTCCAATCTGATACAATCAATTATGCCCAGCCATACTCTACTACTAATCACTCTACCACTACTAGTCATCCAAGCAGCGTCTGCTCAACATTTTCCTCAGACTTACATGTAGCAACTCTCGCTTCCTATGAATGCACAAAATCTAGTGGGGTTCAAGGAACGTACATGACGTTTAGCATTTAAATGTGGTGTTTGTACATCGTGCGAAACTCAGGATATTCATGATACAAGTGCACGACGATGAAGGTTGACACTTCGTTCAGTGGCTTCTCAACTTTGGTTACGTAGTCTTGTTACCTTTTTGCGTTTCCGCTTGTGGTTGTATTGCATTTGTATCATGATTTTATGTGGCATTTCTAACACTTCAGGATATGCATTCCGCTTATATCAGATTCTTTCTTAAAATTTAGCTTCACCGAAATTGTCGACAGTTATAACGTGTGGAGGTAGCAAGAGGACCATACCAATGCTTAGAACTGGGCATAGTGTAATAGATCATGTCGCGTATACCCGGCACTACCTATATTATAATTTATCACAAAAGCCGATATACACCATGCATCTATTCATAACAGACACCTTTTTGTAATATTCTAACAGCAAAGTGTCTTTGATTGCATCGCCTCTTGTCAGGTGTTACAGAGTCAGCATGAAGCTTGATTGATCCCATGTCTCGCGCTAAGGTGAAGAGAAAATTAATATGGATATGGAGAGATTGTTTAAGTGTGTTTGTGTGTGGGGGGGGTTGTGTGTGTGAGTATGTATGTGTGTGTTTCCGGGCGTGAGCTCATGATGTGAAATTATCATAATGTGTCAGTCAAATGTAAGGGCCTAGAAATAGACATGAACTTAAAAACATGACAAATTATCAGAGTGTTCATGTACTTATTCGGTAAACACAGTTGCTACTGATTACAATACTTACATGTACCTCTTAACATGAGTTGTTTCTGCTCTTTGGATTATTGATATTGAATTCGGATACTTTGCCCTTCATGGCAAGAGAACTGCGTTTGGAAGTTTAGTTGAAGTACGTGAATCATGGATGATTGCGATTGGACTTCCGAGGGGAGTGTCGACTCTGACCCACGCTCACCACTGCCACCATTAGTGATATGGACCAGTAGAAGGTCAACTGTGTGTCCTCCAAACATACCATATTATGGTACGACTTTTACAGCTCATCACCACGCATACGGCAATAGCGGTAACACAGAGACGACCTCAGAAGGATCTTTTGCGAATTATGCACTTCAGCATTCCTCATTTCCCTTCTCGAACACACCAACATCTACCTCCAGTGTGCTTCAAGATAATCCTTGGCTGGACATTGCAGCAGATAACTTCAGACACCCTCGTCCAGAGTTCCAGAGGAACAAAGACACACGCGCCAATGAGCCTTCAACAGCAGCTGACGAAAACCCAAGCCTGAATCTCATGACATCAGCAATGGACATTGACCAAAGATCGCACAACAACAGTCGCCAAACTGTTAACTACCTCGTCTCCGTTTCAGATCACTACACAAGCCACGGGCACGTTCGGTATGACTCCGAGGATGGCGATTACTCAAGCAAATATACCGATGTGGACGATTACAATATTGGACATATTCCAATGGATCTTAGGGTATCTAATTTATCTGAGGATCCCAAACGTCACAATTATCGAACGCACAACATTCAGTATACTTCCGGTTCGAGTTCTGAGGAAGATATTCCACTTCAAGCTGACCATCTTCAACCCGAAACTTCTCTTTGCAAGGAAACCGGGCCTTCGCTTGATCGCCAGCATGATGTGCTTGATCGCGCACTTTCACTTCCAGTAGAAAAGCCGTATAAATGTAAGTTTTGCGATAAAACATTTCCAACTCACTACTGTCTAACATCTCATGAACATGCGCACCGAGAAGAAAAACGTTTCAAGTGTAAAGATTGCGATAAAGTCTTCGATAGGCGACACAATCTTGTCCGTCATGTTCGAGTTCACGCAGAAGACAAACCCTTCATGTGCAAGTTCAGCGCTAAATCATTCAGTGATCAATGCAA